CTCTTACTCTCTGACTCTTTATCTACCTCAATTCCTATCTCTCTCTCTTTCTTCCTCTCTTTCTCTCTAAACCCCTCTTACACACACACTCTCTCTCCCATTCTCTTTCTCTATCCTCTTCCTTATTACACTCTCACTTTCTTTCTCAGTCGCTGTTGGTCATCCTCATTCTCATACTCTTTACTGTTTCTACCTCTTTATCGATAGTTTTCCGTATATTTCATATTTTTTATTTTGTTGTGTCTTTTGTATCCTTACATCACACATTCTCTCTCTTCTCTTTCTTTCGCTCCCTTTCTTTCTCTCTCGCTCTCTTTTCTTCTCTTACTCTCTGTCTCCCTCTCTTTTTCTTTTTTCTTTCTTTCTCTCTCTCTAATATTCTTTTACCCTCCTTCTCTCCCTCTTTCCCAATCCTCTTCCTTGATAGACTCTCACTTTTTTTTCTCAGTTTCTATTTGTCAGCCTCTTTCTCACACTCTTTACTGTTTCTACCTCTTTATCGATCTATTTTTCTCCACATTTTATATTTTTTTATTTTATTGAATCTTTTGCTTCTTAACATCACAATTCTCTCTCTCTTCCTCTCTTTTATCTGAATATCTCTCTTTCTTTCTCTTTCTCTCTTTCTACCTCTCTCTTTAACCCCCTTTTACTCCTCTCTCGTTCTCCCCTTTTCCTTTCACACTCTCACTTTCTTTCTCTATCTTATTTGGCAGTCTTATTCTCACATATTTTACTATTCCTACTTCTTTTTCTATCTATTTATCTCGGTATTTTATTTTTTATGTTGTTGAATCTTTTCTTTCTTTACATCATTCTCTTTGTTTTTTGTAATTTTGTAATTGAAATTTTTTTGTTGTATTTGTGTTGAGCACGTGTCTGGATGGCTGTTATGTAGTTTTGTTATTCAGAGGGCTTTAAGCACCAGAATAAAGTTTATTTTCCTCTTCTTCTCTCCCTTTTTTCTCTCTCACTCATTCCCTCTTTCTCTTTCTTTCTCTTGCGCACTCTTCTTCTTTGATAAGGTTGTTATTTTTTTTTCGATTACTAGTTAGCTCTAGTCCTCTTATTCTGTGATAGCTTTTTGCTTTTGAATTTGCTTCTGCGTTACCCTTGGTCGCAGCTTGAGCTTGTTCTTTCGTTTATGAATAACACGGCAGGCTAAAATCGACCTTTTTGGCCAAGAATGTTTGGTGAGATTCTTTAACCCATTTCGAAGTGTCTTTCACCTTGAGGGGTTTTCGGGACTCGCAAGATACCGTGGAAAGTTAAGGGACCGGAAGATGAATCAGGTGTTTTTCACCTAATTCGAGATATAAAAAACCCTAGACACTAAGGACGATCCGTATCATGAAAACAAGAAGGATTTGATGTTTTTACAATTTCCAAGAAATCAAACATGTTGCATCAAACTAGATTAAAAAGGGCTTAAGATTTTTCCAAAGGATTAAAATGTCTGAAGAAAAGTGAGAAAGGGGAAAAACATTTCATTACATAATAAAAACTACAGGATAATACAAGATAATATCAAACTTCCATAGAAACCATGGAAAGTGGATTACACCTCAAGATTCGAACAGCAAGGACTTTTATAGAACTTTTCTCTTTAAAGGATTTGAAACGGATCCATTAATTTAATTTTTAAGCGACTAAGTGTAAAATTATGCCATCATTTAAGACAGATAACCTAAAAAGAAGTGGACAAATAACCTGATTTTTAGCAATTTATAAATTTTATTTAAACAGAAAATTTTCTCATCAAATAATTTTTCCTATTGGGATTATTTTATTAGATTTGTTAAATTAGAAGCTAGTTTTAATTAATAATTTCAGCGTTATTTTCTGTAAACATTTAATAAATTGAAATAGATTACTATTTCGTGGGGAAGTTAAAGTATCAATGATTAATTACCTCATTTAATGAGGATATATGTTATTTCTTTCGATGTGAATGAATAAATTTTTGACTTGTTTATTGAACTTACTAACTACTTGAATTTTTTTTTTCGTTTTATTAGGTTTCGTGGTGACCAAATAAATTCTTTTCAATTAATTAAGGTTTTGGTTGAGATAAAAAAGTCATTGTCACAAACGGGATTCGAACCCACGACCTTCTGAGTAGAGCAGCGGCGTATTTAGCCGAAGGTCGTGAGTTCGAATCCCGCTTGTGACAATGACTTTTTTATCTCAACCAAAACCTTAATTACTTGAAAAATATTCATTGCTCAAAATTTGAAACAAGCTGTGCTGTTATTTTATGCAGGCAAACATCGTTACGATAGGTTTGTACAAAAAGAAAATGTCTCTAAAAAAAGTTTATCAAATTTATTAATAGTACTAGGCTGAATAAATGATAATAATAACAACTGTTTTTCAATTAATCAAATTAATTCTTATTTTCCAAAATCCGTAAAGCATCATTCAGTCTGTTAGTGTTATTGCACGAGAAACTTGTGAAAAATCGAAAAGAGGGCATTGTTAACCTAATTACTGCCAATTGGATACGCTGGAACGTTGGATTATCATTATTATTATTTTTATTACTGCCTGTAGTAATAAAATATACATCTCATAATTTAAGGTGCATTTATGGACTGTATATCATGTCTTGAGGATGGCCAACCTTTGTTGGCCCAATCACAAATGTAAACATGAAACAATGTTGTCCCAGCACTGAACCTTGAGGAACACCGGCTGTTACCTTAACATTCAATCGGTTATTTTACAGAGATTTAGAACCCTCTCAACAAAACTTAATAGCAAAACTTTAGTATATCAAAACCGGAGATAAAAAAAATACATTTTTTTATACAAAAATCGCAAAAGTGACAGTAACTTCAAAATGACTCTACAGATCAACCAGATATGTCACAGAGATTTAGAACCCTCTCAACAACATGTATTAGCATATACTTTAGCATCCGTAAGTATATCAAAACCGGAAATAAAAAAAATACATATAGTTTGAGGTTTTTTTTGTTGATTTCAAGCTTTTTGTTTGCACCCCAAAAACCGTGAATACAAATCTTTGCAAAACTCGGAATATGTTTTTCCTAGAAATTAGAAAACAAATGCCTGTGATTTTTCCCCCACAAAATTCAAACTTTTTGTTTTCACTTATAATTGCTTGAAAGAAGAAATATTCAACGGTTTTGCACCCCAAAATACCCTGAATACAAATCTTAGCAAAAATCGGAGTATAATTTTTCCTAGAAATAGGAAAACAAATGCCTGCGATTTTTTTCTACGAAAATCACAAAAGTGACAATAACTTCAAAATGACTCTACAGATCAACCGGATATGTCACAGAGATTTAGAAGTCTGTCAGCTATACGTAACAGAATAACTTTTGCCTCCGTAAGTATATCAAAACCGGAGATAAAAAATACATAAAGTTGAGGGTTTTTTTCTTGATTTTAAGCTTTTTGTTTTCACTTATAATTGCTTGAAATCTAAACATTATTGACAAAGCTTGAAAGAAAAAATATTCAACGTTTTTGCACCCCAAAAGACTATCCAGGATACAATCTTAGCGAAAATCAGAATATATATCTTTGCCTAGAAATTTCTGCTTTCCAAATGCTTCCGATTTTTTCTTGAAAAAGTGTAAAATTGACAATTAATTCAAAATGATTTTACCGATCTACCGGATATTTCGCAGAGATTTAGAGCCCTCTCGACTACACATAATAGAAAAATTTTGGTCTCCACAAATAAATTCAAACTAGGGATAAAATGATATAAATTTTGAGGAGTGTTTGTTTATGTCAATATTTTTGAACTCACGATTGAATCTAAACGTAGTTGAAACAGCATGAAGAAGAATGTTCAGCTTTCCAACAGTTGTAATAACTTTCAATTAATTAAGGTTTTTAGTTGAGATAAAAAAAGTCAATGTCACGAGCGGGATTCGAACCCACGAAAGGTGGGAAACTGATGGGAAGTTAGTGTCCGAGTGGAAGTCACGATAGCTCAAGTGGTAGAGTAGCGGCGTATCAAGCCGAAGGTCGTGGGTTCGAATCCCGCTCGTGACATTGACTTTTTTAACTCAACGAAAACATTAATTAATTGAAAGATATCAATTGGTCAAGCGGACCACGAAAACTAGTGAGTTGTAATAACATTGAATTTGACCAATTTTTGAAATAAAATCAAGAGAAGTACATACTTCATTTGTAAGTAGAACACTGTCCACGGCTTTTTCATTGCGATGAATATTCCTCTTTAATAGTTTTATAGGATGTTTACAACGAATTCGATTTTTTTTCAAAATCAATTTTTTTGGCCTATTTTCAGTTTTTACAACATTTTATATATCTAACCTCGATTAATGCAATATTGTATGTTTTTTATGTTGTTCGTTATTGTTTTTATCCTAGATTAAAAAATCAATCAACTGATATATAACTTCGAAATAAATACGCAACGTAGGCAGAAGAAGATATTTTAAAAATATCTAATACTTTTCGACCTAGTGTCACCAAAAAGGTTTAAGTAAAATCGGTGATCCTACGTGCTCAGCTGACCTTGTAAGTAATAAATAAAGAATATATTGTTACATTATGATTTATAGGTTTAAAGATGCTTGTTTGGACAGAGGAGTGAGCAGAAAGGTTTTTTATGAGAGTTGAGATATCGGAAATAATATTTTCCGAAAGTAATGGCTATAGTATGTAATAATTTTATGATTAGTGAAATTATTTTATTGAGGAAAGAAATTAAATTAATTTTAAGGGTCGAGAAAATTAACGTGCTAACGTCGCGACGGGCCAAATCATGGGCGAAACCCAGTTTGACAAGCCCGCAAGACGGCGTCCATCCAGCACCGGCGGCCGGCCCCAAAACCAACTCACACCCCCAACACACCCATCAAATTACGAGACTAAAATTCATAAAGTTTTCACGGAAACAATAAAGAACAAACAATAACGGGGAAAACACAACTGCGAAGCGGCGTTCGATCAACCCCCCACTACCCGGAACGGCTATTTAAGACTAGAGACGCTGGCTCATGGCATCAGTCATCCGAGTTCACTCAAGAGAAACGGTTCAAAAATGTATCCAAATCCTTTCGAAAGAAAACACTCGACGATCCGTCAGGTGATCGACAAGTTCCTGAGGCCGGAGGCGAACAACAACCAAAGGAGAACCTCCGGCTACGGATACAACAGCCCTAAAACTAAATCTTCCGTCAAGGGGTGGTGACTCTGGGTTGCTAATCATTGCCTATCCCTACGGTAATTGTTTTTCTTTTTCGCACCAAAAAAAAAAAAAAAAAATTTCTAAAACAATTTAATTTATTGGTTCAGATGGTGTTATTCTTCATACCAAAGATTGTGAACGGGGAACACTTTAAAGACTAGAAGTCATTCGTTGAATGGTAAGTTTGAACAATTTTATTAATTTTATGTTTTTCCCCCACCCTTTAACAATTGATTTTCTTTGACGGTTCTACCTGAAAAAAATAGAATTAATCCACCCCCTTGCACAATTGAAAATGACGGGGAATATAAGGGTGGGGAAATTATCGGGGGATGGCGAACTCAGACGGCCATTGTCTGGGAAAATAGTTCCTGCCTCTCGATATTGACCTATTTCCTTTCTCCTATATGACGACAATACATTAATCATTATGAAATTTAAAAAAAAATATACAATGAATTAAATTAATTAAACCTCAAAATTCCAGATCGAGTAAAAAAAATTAACCATCTAACATGTTTAGAATATTAATAAAAAAAATTGTTTAGTAGAATAATATCTCACAGATTTTTTTTTAACGCGTTGATATATATTTTTGAAATAAGAGGGTAGTTTTAATGCGATTACTTTTACAGCTTCTTTTAACGAGCCCCCACACCCTCTAGGGTTTCACGACTCCCCTGATTTATCTCTAACGGCTTTCTTTTGAAAATTACTGATCCTTCTCTAATAGAAAACAAAAACAAAACCAAACATCGTAAAAGGTCTTTTTTTTTTTTTTTTACAAATAATAGAATTATTATTACTCAAAATTTACAAAACAATCGGTGTATCAAACTGTGTGTTTCCTTTAATTTAGCCTAATTAGGTATTTCTTAATGATGGTTTAGTTATATATTTCAAAATTATATAAATGACATTGCGGCTAATGATTAAAAAGTGTCAAAGTAAGGGTCCGATGATCGAATGATTTCTTCAAAACTTGCAAAAATGACCATAACAATATTAACTGCACGTAATAGCATAACTTTGGCCTCCGAAAAGCAAATCAAAACCGTAGAAAAAAATTAAAAGTTTGAGGTTTTTTTGTTGATTTCGAGCTTTTTGTTTCTACTTGTAATTGCACGAAATCTAAACATTATTGACACAAGAATGACACAATTGCGCAGAAAACAAACACTTCGAGTGAGTACAAATACTGATTGAATATCAAATTTTTTTTACATTGCATAAATTTCTTTTTTTTCCACATCCATTAAATTTAAACAATGTTTGTAAATCCCAGGCCCTGAAGATGATCTCAATAAAGCTCGAAACGTTGGCACGATAAAGAAAATGTTTTTCTGAAACCTACGTCACACCAGACCGCATCTATCTTCTCCGAATAATTATTTGCAAAGATTGAAAGAATAAATAACAAAGTTTTTGCACCCAAAAAATCTCTGAATACAAATCTTTGTGAAAATCCTGCAATCCTCCTCTAATAGACAACAAAAACAAATAAAACCATACACTCTAAAATTTTTTTTTAATGTAATAAAATTATTATTATACAAAATTTAAACTGTCAATTTACAAAACAATTGGCGTGTCAAACACTGGGTTTCCTTTAATTTAGACTAATTGGGTATTTCTTAACGATGATATAGTTACATATTTCAAATGTATATAAATGACAGTGCAGCTAATGATTAAAAAAGTATATCAAAACCGTAGATAAAAAAATAAAAAATATATAAAGTTTGAGGTTTTTTTGTCGAGTTCAAGCTTTTCGTTTTCATTTATAATTGCATTAAATCTAAACATTATTGACAAAGCTTGAAAGAAGAAATATTCGAAGTTTTTGCACCCCACAAAACCCTGAATACTAATATTTGCGAAAATACTGCGATCTTCTTCTAATAGACAACAAAAACAAATAAAACCGCACATCCTAAAAGGAACTTTTTTTTACAAATAATAAAAATATTATTGCACAAAATTTAAACTGTCAATTTACAAAACAATTGGCGTGTCAAACACTGGGTTTCCTTTAATTTAGACTAATTGGGTATTTTTTAAAGATGGTTTAGTTACATATTTGAAATTTATATAAATGACAGTGCGGATAAAATGTTTAAAGAGTGTAAAAGTAAGGGTCTGATGATTTCTTAAAAAATTGAAAAAATGACAATCACTATAATAACTACACGTAATAGCACTTTGGCCTCCGAAAAGCAAATCAAAAGCGGATATTAAAAAAAAAAAAACATAGTTTTTTAGTTGATTTCGAGCTTTTTGTTTCCACTTATAATTGCAAGAAATCTAAACATTATTGAGAAAGCTTGAAAGAATAAGTAACAACGTTTTTTCACCCCAAAAAACCGTGAATCTTTGCAAAAATCAGAATATTATTTTTCCTAGAAACTGGAAAACAAATGCCTGCGATTTTTTTCTACAATAATTGACAATAACTTCAAAATGACCAGAGTTCAACCAGATATGTCACAGAGATTTAGAACCCTCTCAACAATACGTAATAGTATAACTTTGGCCTCCGTAAGAAAATCAACACCGGAGGCCAAAAAAAAAAGTTTGAGGTTTTTTGTTGATTTCAAACTTTTTGTTATCACTTATAATTGCTTGAAAGAAGAAATATTCAACGTTGTTGCACCCTAAAATACCGTGAATACAAATCTTTGTAAAAATCTGAATATAATTTTTAGTAGAAATTGGAAAACAAATGCTTTTTGTAGAAAAAAATCGCAAACGTGACAATAACTTCAAAATGACTCTACAGTTCAACCAGATATTTCACAGAGATTTAGAACCCTCTCAACGACTATTATAACTTTTCCAACGTTTTTGCACCCCAAAAAACCCAGGATACTAGTATTTGTGAAAATCCTGCGATCTTCTTCTAATGTACAACAAAAACAAATAAAACAACAAATCTTAAAAGATTTTTTTTACACATAATAAAATTACTATTACACAAAATTTAAAACGTCAATTTATGACACATAATTGCTGTGTCAAACTGTGAGATTCCTTTAATTTAGGCTAATTAGGTCTTAATGATGGTTTTATTTATTTCAAATATAAATGACATTGCGGCTAATGATTAAAATGTGTAAAAGTAAGGGTCTGATGATCAAAATGAAACGCCCAAACTATGTTTTTTTTTTGTTGTGATGTTATTGGATTTACCAAAAATTGCCTTTTTTGGCAGTAGTCCGGAGATATGTTCTCATATGAAATATCAATCGGCTAATTTTTCTGGGTCGGTCTCTGATTGGCTTGTTTTGTATCAACTGTTCGCCGATTTCTCTTGCTTTCACCCAATTACAAATATCAAGATTGATTATAAAACAGGACGAATAAATGGTGAATAGTTTTAACAACTTTTCTGGATAGAGAACGAATTGTTTTTCCAACGATTTAAACGCCAACGCGTCAGAGCTTTTAAATGAAATATTTTGCTGTGAAATGTCGTAATTTCTTCACTGCTCCCTTTTTTGGATGAAGTTTTTTTCCGGCCATTTTTATAAAATCAGAGAGTAACATTGAAAATTTGATAAGTCTTCTTTTGTAATTTACATGTTACTGTCTTTTGTTAAAGCGTCTGTTATTATTATGTTCCATTCTTACACCTTAACAGTCATAAATAAATAGAAATGATGAAGGTGGGGTGAGTATGTTGTTTAATCTATTTATAGTTTGGTGTAGCTCCAATTTTTTTTAATGAGAGGTCATAAATAAATTGAAAAACCCACACAGGCCTAATTGAAAGGTAAACAATCCATTGTTATGACCTGTGCTTGTTTACATGGTTTTTAAGATTCAAGATTTGAACTCTTTACAAAAGCATAAATAATAAACTTGACCGACAACACACAAGTTAAAATCGCTGAAATGTGTGTTTTTGAACGTATTATTGAAGATTTAGAACTTTTTTACTACTCAAAGTGATTTTTATTTAGCAAAACTTTGTCGTAATCGCAAATCATTTTTTCATTTTCTTAGACGAGTTTTTAAAAATATTTTCTCACTGAAATGCGCGTTGATGCATTAAATATTATCCAAACATTCTCTCTATACTTGAATTATATAATTCAATAAAATTATATTAAAAAATGATAAAAATAAAGAATAAATTATTTCCAAGAACTTAGCATGACATATAATAAAAAGTTTATTTGAAGATTTCTTAGCTATGTTCTTTCTCCTTTGTCCTAGGGCGTTGTTCTACCAAAAATGAGCTTATAAAATGATCCATTCTTTTCCTAATTTTTTTAGCAGTTTGAAATTTGGACTTAGCTTGGTTGACTATCCATTATTCGCATCGTGTAAAAAAGCAAAGAACGACCAAACATTAAAAAATAGTTCACTAGTTTTTGTGGTCCGCTTGACCAATTAATATCTTTCAATTAATTAAGGTTATTATTTGAAATAAAAAAGGTGAAAAATGGTAAAAAAGGTGGGGTTGAGATGGGAAGTTAGTGTCCGAGAGGATCAAGTCACGATAGCTCAAGTGGTAGAGCAGCGGCGTTTAACCGAAGGACGTGGGTTCGAATCCCGCTCGTGACACTGACTTTGTTATCTCAACAAAATACCTTAATTAATTAAAAAATAAATATTTACATCAAATTAACTTTATTTTGTAATTTCAATTTATTTAAAATTTTTAGATAGTTTATTAGTAAATAGTATTAATTATTAATTGATTTTATACTTTGGTTTTATAGAATTTTTCTCACTCAGCTATTTCCTCGTTGTAGCTCACTTTTTGTTCTTGCACAATATTTTACCATCTTATGGATGATGATGATGATGATACTAGGAAGCCAGGTTTGTGTTCCCCAGGCACTGCAGCCTTCTGGCTTATTCCTAGTTACCTAATTCAGCGCAATCAACTCAATCCTTCTTCTTAAATGTATTAGGTCATTGACTGTCGCTGCTACTATTCGTTCCTGTTTTTTTTTAAGGTTATGTCTCCATTAATCCGTTGCATAATCTGCAAATGGGATCATTAGTGAATATGCCCATATTATTTAGTTGTTTTCTCAGAAGCCAGTGACCGGTTAATAGTCCTATCACTCTTCTGAGTCTAGACCTTTCCTATTGTAGCAGTGAGTTTGCCGGTCTTGGTGAGGGTTTTTTAAGTTACTGTGTCTAGCGCTCCTTGAGATTATCTACAGCTCTTTTGTTTTATTTGGATCCATTCTGTCATGGAGGATTCTGCAATTGTTTTTTTTATCCCAAGTATAGGTTCAAGGCCTTGTATCTTGCATATCCTCCTCAGTGTGTATGCTTTATCGTTACCCAAAATTCCTTTTTGCCCTGGCATCCAACATATCATCAGGCTGTTTGTTTCCCCAGGTTTTGTAAATTTTGGATGCATTCACTGACTAATTTTGATGTGATTTTTATACATGCAAATGCTGCTTGGTTATCAGATCTTACGAGGATGTTTTTGCCAGTGTAACATTTATAAAGATTTTCTAGGACACAAGCATTGATGGCATGTGTTTCTGCTTGAAAGACCGAAGTGTATTCCCCAATGATTTTGATTGCTCTATATTTTGCGCTTGTACAGAAGACACCCGATCCGGTTCCTTCGTTTGTTTTGGAGCCAACGGCATCACAAATCATTGTCCCTCTTGAATTTTTCATCTCCTTTATAGTCTGTTGAAACTTTATAGGACGTGAAGAATGTTTCTGGAATCATATCAATCTATCCTCATTTCTAACAATGGTTGTCTCATTGTATAAAGTATGGTTGTGTGCCCGAATTGTTTAGTTCCTATCAAAGTTGATTGTTTTTGGAGCCTAATGAGCTTTTCCTAGCTTCCGCTTATAAGAATGTTACCACCAGTTGAGGTAAGTTTAGAAATGTTTCTAGTGCACTTGTAGGGCATTAGTCATTGCCAATCTTTTAATGCTGCCTAGTATTTGGGTAGCTATTTTTTGTTGAGCTTTGGTCCTCCAGATTAGTAATTTTGGGTTTGATTATTGCTGTTTATTGCCATTGGACCATATCGGTTTCGGTCCCCAAGAATTACCTAGCGTTTTTCTTGAGGTCATTAGCGATATTTTATCTTTGTTTGATATGTTGCATGCGAGGGTTCCCGGTTAACGTTTTATCAAAGCTTACTCCTTGGTATTCAACCTCGTTTTTTAGCTTCAGCCTTTCATTACAAAAGCGAAGGCATTGCATTTCTCAGTTTCATTTCTTGGTGAAAGCAATGGTAGGTTTTTGAGGGGTTTGCTTTCCTTCCTCGTTGTCAGCAACTTTGGTCCATGTTTAATGCTCTTTAACGTTGAGTCGAATTTTCTCCTGGCAGTGTAATCTCCATAACTTTGATTTCATTTAGTTTGGATATGAGGTCATCTACTACCACATTCCATAACAGGCGAGAGCATTCCTCCACGGACATCCTCTCGCCACCACTTCTTCCTTTTCCTGCACTTTTCTGCATTTTACTTCCCTTTTACTGCTCCTTCAATGTCTAATTCCTAACGCTTTTTCTTGGTTGTCGAATTCTCTATTTGTATCATGATTTGGTGTAATGCTGATTTTTAGTAGTAATCACAGGATTTTCAATTTGGTAGGCAGACTGTTATTTATGAAGGAGTTTTTCTCTTTTTTTTTGGAATGTTTTGAGTAGACTGATGATTTTGCATCTTCTGAGAGGTCTTCCTAATAAAGATTACTTTTGGAGTCTGATTTTTTTAGTATTTTAGATATGCAAGTAGGGTTTATAGGGATTTGGCAAGGATTTTGTTGTTCAGTGATGTTTTCAACTTCTTTGCAAAATTTCCTCCACGATTGTTTTGGCTTTTTGATCCTTAGTCTATTCTGTTAGGGTTTTACTGTATTCTTTCCCAGTTTTTCCGTTCTGTACCAAAGTTTGCTAGTTTTCTTTCTTAGTGCAGTCAGCTTGTCGTTCCACCAGTAGATTCTCTTTTTGTTGGTGTAGAGTAGGCATCAGCAATGATGATTGTAGCTTAGCTGTAGGCTTTTTTTCATGCAGTGTTGTATCTGATCGTCAGTTTCCTTAGGTGGACTATAACGCATGTAGGTGGATTATCATATCCGTCGTGTAGTTTAGTCTATTTACTGTTTGGTCCCGGGAACAGATATAAAAAGTTTGGTATAAACGCATTTTAATTTCATGGGAAGAGTATCAAATTTAATGGTTTATTGATTCATTTTTGTTATATGACTTGTACAGCCCTTTCGATGGATTCTGATAAATGTTTAACACCTTATACTTATTAAAAAGTCGGTAAATGATCTTTTTTATGTTAAAATATGATCAACCTTTTATTGATTTTTATTTTTTGGGTTTCAGTCGTGATCATTATAGTCTGGGGGGTTGTCGGTTTTATGATCTCTCTCTCTTCTTCTTCTTTTTCTCTTCTTTAATACATAGGTGCGTTATAATTTTATGACTGGTCTAAAAATAGCACCCCCCCAAAAAAAAGTATCTCAACTTATCGCTTTGAATAGTAACGTTTGAATTATCAGTATGGATTTAAATATTCTAGCTGATTGATTTAAAAAATATTAAATTGAACAGTTTTTTCCCTGAGCACCGGAAATAATCGATTAAATAAATATTATTATCGTAAGTAAACTAACATAAACAGCTCTGAACAGGCCCCATTTGATCCGCTACCAAATAGAAGATAAAAATAAAAATGGATAACTGTATTTGTACAAAACAAAAACGAAGATTCTACGTTAAATTTTTTTTTCGGTGTCAAACGAGCACGACCTATCCTCATTCTTGTCTGACCCCAAGGCCAATGTCTCCGAGGCTTGGGCACCCCGTTGATTTTTTTCAAGGAAGTTTCGTGACAGAATTTTTTTTAATGGAACACCTGAATAATACACATGAAATACGGCCACTACCGAAATTATGTCTGCCTTTCAGACGCCACAGACACACTGAAGATGTCGATAAGTCGAAGTCTGAAGTATGAAGAAAAGTCTGAAAGACCAACGTGATAGGGTGGCCAAAATGACCGGTTTGGACCTAATTAAAAAAAAAAAAAATAGTCCTAAACCAAAACAACAAAAGCTTCCTATAAACCCCCGTCCAAATCACAACGGTAAAGAACTAATTATAGGTTTTGGTTTTTTTTTTAATTTTTCGACTTAGGTCCACTAAATTGCTTATAAACTTCAGAAATTTGACTGTAGAAAAATCTGGTTTGTGCCACCTAAAAGAACGTTAAATTTGCTGTAAGAAACCTATTTACATTGCACAATTGATGAAAAAATTCTGCACGAAAAATTCTGAAAATATGATTATTCAGAAATCGTGAGATGCGGTCTGGCGTGATTAGGTTTCAGAAAAACATTTTCTTTATCGCGCCAACGTTTCGATCTTTATTGAGATCATCTTCAGGGGCTGGGATTTACATTGTTTAAATTTACCCCCTGAAGATGATCTCAATAAAGATCGAAACGTTGGCGCGATAAAGAAAATGTTTTTCTGAAACCTACATCACACCCAGACCGCATCTCACGATTTCTGAATAATTATCGATTAACGGTCACTAACCACCACACATTAATTATAAAATTATATATATGCGACAGTAAGAATTCATTAGGAAAAAAAATGCTATACATTTAAATGTGAACTGAAATATATATATATATATATATACACATAAGTTTAAGTTATTTATTAAAGACATTTTTAACAATTAGTCCATCCATTTAGGTTTATCATACGCTAACATTAATATTTTAATGTGCATGTTGTCATGGTAATTTTTTCTTTTTATATACTTTTACCCTTAATAAATGTCAGTAGTTGTTTTATTACAACTGATTTATGTTTTTTATTTTTTTTTTACAGGCAGCACTGAATCTCAGCCCGGTCACCGACGGACAGCCCCAATCAGTATTCACGTTAATTTATGACAAAACATCACAGCATATCCAAATTAAAGCTTTAACTTATTTATTACTTAGAGTGCGCTTACGAGACGTAGCCTCTAAAAAAACTTGTTTTAGCTGTTAACCTAATTTATTTATTGTAATTTATTGTAAATAAAATAATTTCGAACAAAAAAATTTCAGCTCTGTTTTCCCTGTCCGAACCATTTTCTGATAAAATTACCCAGCCCATTAGCCCGATTTATGTTTCCGTGCACGGCGTGATTTCAATTTGGCAAATATGAATTCTCATTAGGTTAATGGAATAGGTGGAATGTCGTCACGGGTCGCAAGGTGAACGAGATCCGGTCAAAACAATTTTTTTTTTCTTTTTCTCACTTTCACACTTACAACGTTGTATGCATTTTTGTTTTGTACTTGGCCAGGCTCCAGATTCGGGCTAGAACATATTTTGGCCAGGTAGAAGTTAAATTAGGACGTATACTACGCATTGGAATTTATCGTTTTAAAAATAGCACTTATGTCCTTCCTGATACGATGTTTACAGGTGATGACAAATTGCATCAAAGAACAGAAAATATATCTTTAATTTGTCATTGCGAGGAGATATTTTCACGATTTTACACACAAGGCATTAAAAATCTCAAAATTTCTTTAAACCCTCAGGATAAATGAAATTTGTGCAGATTTTGGGTCAAGAGTACATAAAACTGGATTCTTTCCTCCCTTATTTTTTACTTGTTGAAATTTATCCATATTTAAAAAAACACGAAGACAAACAATGGAAGATGATGGAGTGCGAAACGAGTCTGACGGACAAAATCAGCGAGGACAGACGGACCCTGGATGATGGGAGCCGATCAGGATCAAGAAAGCTTTGTTTTGTATCATGTTTACGGAAACCGATTTTTCTTTTTTCTTTAGGCTATTAAATCATTGAACAATTTTATTGAAGAACATAAAAAAATTCATTTATGTTTAGTGGTCTAATTGACCATGTTAATTATTCTTTTATGTAAGGTCTTGGTTGAGATGAAAAAGTTAGCGTCACGAGCAGAATTCGAACCCACGACCTTCGGCTAAACACGAGTCGTTTTGTTTCCGAGCTTTTATCACACCAACGTCATAATAGTTGTACTAATTTTAACTTAACTATAAAATAAAGAAGTCTTTTCCTTCCAAGATTAGAAAATTTGTTGAAGCATCCCTAGTAACAAAATAGATCGTGACAATATCATAGTAAAATTTTTTTCGGAACGTACAATGTGCTAAGACTTTTTCAGTATTTGATGATTGGTGTTGGTCTGCAAGTCATAAGGTCAATTATTAAATCCTTCACTTTGTCTGAATAGTGTCTGAATGACAAATTGATAGACACATAGTTCCTCACTGAAGAATGGCTCGCATTTGTGTATTTCAAGAAACGCGAGTGAAGACGGACCCAATAAGTGACCCTATGCCGGTTGATTCTTTGACATTGCAATGCCAAGAGAGTCAAGTATTTCCTATGTTACAGGAGGGCTTATCGTCTACCAACTATACGGTCAAAACACTTTTCAATGCTTTCTTTATATTAATTACAATTAAAAATTCCTGGGGTGAGCCGTGATTCGAACCCAGGACCGCTAGCGTGGCAAATAAGAGTCGGCCACCCTAACCACTCGGCCATCGCGGTCCTCTATTCGACGAGGACGCTTTTGAGGAGACATGTCTCGACCAAGAAAGCACTGGAGTAAATAAAATGCCTAGGTATTTATAGTCTCACCTTTGTAGAAGAAACGATCCGCAGAACTTAATCTACCACCCTTCCTGAACACGACTTTGAATTTCTGTAGATTAACCGACAGGTTCCACAGGTCAAAAAAAGGCTTCTAGCAGTTTAACGTTTCTTTTAAGACCCGGCTAAAGTACGATATCATCAGTGTACAACTAGACTGTTATAATTGTAGAACTTACACAAATGCCACACTCAAGAGTCAGAGGAAGGTCGTCCAAGAACATAGCAAACAATATAGGTCTCAACAAACAACCCTGACGCACACCACACACCTCGAAATAATCAGACATTCCCCCTTTGCTCAAGGTAGATGTCACTGAAAATAACGATTTCAACACCTCAATGTGATTTAGGATATTTCATTAGTTTCAAAAAGTATTTCTACATATTGGGTACTATTTCCGAACCCTGATTAATATATAAAAATATATACAAATCAAGTTATATTGCAAGTGGGTGGAATTTTAAGCCTGTCAGCGCATTGTTTTTTAATCATGTATTTGAAAAAAATGAATTTCATCAGTCCTCAGGTTCTTTGACTGATTTTGATTAAGAAGCGAGTAGATAAATAACAAGATTGGCCAAAGCACAGATCCCTGAGGAACTCCTACAAAAAGTGCACAAGCTTGGCGAAGTATCAACTGTTTTTCTTAAAAGAACCCCAGTTGGCCTATTAAAGGCTGTCAGTAAATTTATAATAAATTATATTATGTTTAAAGTCAGACTATGTCGGATATTGCGCGTAATTCAAAAGATTGGTCAAAACATAGACCCTTGAGCAACTCCTTCTCTAATAAATGTAATTAAAAGCCTCTGCCTTAGCAATTTACATTTTTTTAAAAATTTTTATACAAAGACTCAATTATTAAATATTAAAAAACGTGAAACTTTGATTAATACATAAAAATATATACAAATCAAGTTATTACAAGTAGGTGGAATTTTTTGCCTGTCAGGGCATTATTTTTTAAGCCTGCATTTGAAAAAAATCAAAAATCAATTTCATAAGCCCTCAAGTTCTTTGACTGATATTGATTAAGAAGCGAGTAGATAAATAACAAGATTGACCAATGCACAGATCCCTGAGGAACTCCTATAAAAGTGCACAAGCTTGGCGAAGTATCAACTTTTTTTTGTTAAAAGACCCCCAGTTGGCCTATTAACGGCTAAGTCAGTAAATTTATAATAAATTGTATTATCATTAAAGTCAGACTATGTCGGATATCGCGCGTAATTCAAAAGATCGATCAAAACATAGACCCTTGAGCTACTCCTTCTCTAATAAATGTAGTTAAAAGCGTCTGCCTCAGCAATTTACATTTTTTAAACTTTTTTATACAAAGACTCAATTATTAAACATTAAAAAACATGAAACTTTGATTAATATATAAAAATATATACAAATCAAGTTATATTACAAGCAAGTGGAATTTTTTGCCTGTCAGTGCATTATTTTTTAAGCCTGCATTTGAAAAAAATCAATTTCATCAGCCCTCAAGTTCTTTGACTGATATTGATTAAGAAGCGAGTAGATAAATAACAAGATTGGCCAATGCACAGATCCCTGAGGAACTCCTATAAAAAGTATCCTATAAAAAAAGTATCAACTTTTTTTCTTAAAAGACCCCCAGTTGGCCTATAGGCTAAGTAAGTAAATTTATAATAAATTATATTATCTTTAAAGTCAGACTATGTCGGATATCGCGCGTAATTCAAAAGATTGGTCAAAACATAGACCCTTGAGCAACTCCTTCTCTAATAAATGTAATTAAAAGCCTCTACCTTAGCAATTTACATTTTTTATACAATTATTAAACATTAAAATAATTGAAACTTTAATTAATATATAAAAATATATACAAAGCAAGTTATATTACAAGCAGGTGGAATTTTTTGCCTGTCAGTGCATTATTTTTTAAGCCTGTATTTGAAAAAAATCAAAAATCAATTTCATCAGCTTACAAGTTCTTTGATGATGTTGATTAAGAAGCGTGTGCGTAATTAACAAGATTGGCCAAAGCACAGATCCCTGAGGAACTCCTATAAAAGTGCACAAGCTTGGTGAAGTATCAACATTTTTTCTTAAAAGGCCCCCAGTTGGCATATAGGCTGTCAGTAAATTCATAATAAATTATATTATCCTTAAAGTTAGAGTATGTCGGATATCGCGGGTAATTCAAAAGATTGGTCAAAACATAGATCTTTGAGCAACTCCTTCTTTAATAAATGAAGCCTGTGCCTTAGCAATTTACATTTTTCTAACTTTAAAGAAAAACTCAATTATTAAACGTTATAAAACGTGAAACTTTGTTTAATATATAAAAATATATCGAAAAAAAGTTATATTACAAGTAGGTGGAATTTTTTGCCTGTCAGTGTATTTTGTGCATATTTCAAGTGGCCGGATTTGTTTCCATATTGAAACCAGGATTCAGGCTAGAAAAGTGATTTCTCCCCGGTTACGAAACTCAAGATAAAACCAAAAACGTGGCTTATTTATTCATAATCGGAAAAAGGGTTCGCTCATTATCTTAATCTTAAAACGGCTGATAGGAGGGGCAATGACTCCCGTTTTAAGACAAATCACGTGGTTCGACCGGGTCATTCCGACCGTGTGCCGTTCTCGGCCTTTCCGGCAGAAGAGCAATCAAATGACTCTTTCTTTTTAATCCCCCCTTCCAACTTAAAGCAACAATAAATAACGACAAAAAATTATCTAGACTTGTATTTCGATTAAAATCGATTATGCAATCTTTGTAAAATTTTGAAAAATATAACGTTCTTCTCAACACCAATGAAATAATACCCCATATATTTTTATTGATGATTTATTTGACTGTAACATATCGATGCATATTGCAAATATGTGCGTATTTTGGTTTTTCTCTCTGGCATTAACACTTTGGCTGGCAGTGCAACCGTTGGCCCGGAGGACACACGTTAAGAGAAACCAGGTTTAATACAAGGGATTAAGGGGCGAGGAGGTCTCGAGGCCAACGTCGTTTAAGGCTTAAGATGGAATTAGAGCTCGACGACTACTTTGAAAGCTGGACAGGATTAGGTCGTTGAAAAAAAAAAAAACTGATGAAGACTTTTGCGTCACAATTTGTCAGAAGATTTTTGATCGGGGATTGGATGCACTTGATATTAAATGGCTTGGCAGAACCCACAGAATTCCGTATGTCCAAATTGGTCGCCGTGATGCTTTGTTTTCTTTTCTTAGTCTGCTAGTCGTTGTAATTGTCTCTAATTATTCTTGTTTGCCCAATATTGCCTCATCGCAGAACCAAATTTTCAAATTTGCTAAAGCTTGCCTAATTCCATGAGTTTGAAACGAGTGCAGTATTTTCCTTCAATGTTTCATCTTGCATATTGGCAACACTGATTTTTTTTAGCGCCA